GGTTTACAACCACTTTAAGCCTTTTTCCCTCTGTTTTCACTTGGTGATCTGGCCAGTAATGCACCTCCTGTATTAGGGTTTCCCCACTCTGGATGAAGGAGCACAGGGGGCACCTTTGGACAACATTAGTGACCTAGGGGAGGGGAGTGTTACATGTACTGGCAGATTTAAATACACTAACACGTTAAAGCCAAAATCCAGCCAATACTTTATAAGCAGTTACAGGAACATTTTTTTTTTCCTTTGGGATAAAGGTTTCACATAAATAAATAAAAGCTGATCATTACATGCACCACTGCTAGTGTTAAGTGGTTTGTCTCACTTCTGTAACTGATACATTCTGCTGGAGAGCTTGTTCTTTTGAAAAACAACAGACTTACTGGCTGGGTCATCAGGTGAAAATTAAAGAAAGAAAGCTGGAAAAAAAAAAACTAATGCAGCCATCACATCTAAGAAATGGCAAGCTGCACTATAATAAATGTTTGCTTTTGGGTTTAATATCACTTTAAAAAGAACAGATGAGATAATCTCTTTGTTGGATTTTCTTCTTTATCTAATGAATGGTCAGTAGTTGCAGTGTGTTTGCTTTCTCAAAGTTGAACTATAAACAGTACGGCACTTGTACACATCCCCCACAATCCCATACAATAATGTAAGACATATGGCAGGGTGTTTGGGGATTGCTCCTTAACTGCTTGCCATCCGGAGGATTTACCCCCCCTTGCTGACCAGGCCATGTTTTGCGTTACGCCATTGCATTACTTTAACTGACAATTGCACGGTCATGCAATCGCTGCAGTCAAATTAAATTTATGTCCTTTTTTCCCCATGAATAAAGCTTTCTATAGGTGGTATTTGATCACCTGTGCAGACTGACAATTTTGAGAAAAAAACAATATTTATGACTTTAAAATTGAAAAAATCAAATTTCACCATAAATTTAGCCAAAAATGTATTCTGCTACATGTCTTTGCTAAAAAAAAAATCCCAATACATGTAAATTAATTGGTTTATGTGAAAGTTATAGTGTTTACAAATGGCGGTATGTATACTGGAATTTTGTTTTTCTTCTTTACTAGTAATGGCAGCAATCAACGACTTATAGTGGGACTGCATTCTGATACGGGGGGAACTGACTTGGTGTCAATGACATCGTCAGTGACACCAATACAGTGATCAGTGCTAATAAAAAGTTAATGGCGCTGGGTAGGAAGGGGTTAACATCTGGGGTGATCAAAGGGCTAGTTGTGAGCTATGTGCTGTTTCACTTTATGTGCTGTATGTGTGCTTTCCACTGTAAGCACCCTGCTTTGTGTGACTCTGCTATGCAGAGCCATACAAAGCAGTGTGCAGGAGCTGACGGGTAGAGAACTGCATTGTTTACATAAAGATCTCTCCCCCTGTCGGTTATACTCGGCGATTACTGGGCGCCGGCAGTAATTACCGGCAGGGACCCGATGTTTGACAGCCGAAGCGCAGGTAGGGCACGCGCCCCCTGCCCGGAACTGCAAAATCACGTATATATACGTAATTTTACGCACCTGTGCCGCCCTATAGCAGTATTTCTACTATAGGGCGGACGGGAAGCAGTTAAGGCAGGTGTTCTTGAGGCTAATAAATTGTTTCTTTTTCCAAAGTGTGTTTTCTTGGCAGAACAGTGCACAGAATGCGCCAATCCAGATAGCAGGCTGGGCAACCAAAAGGTCCTTCCCCAAACTCCAGGTAGTCTCCCAAGAATATACAAGGCTATCCATAATCTGTTCCTTTTCCTCAGCAACTTTTCCCTTGGCGTAGCCTACTACTCCCTAACAGCATGTTTCTGCTGCAAGTTCCCCACAAAGACCCAGCTGAGGCCATATATACCTAAGATCGCTGCCTACAACTTGGCAAAGCTGTGTTCAATGGGACATAGGCTCATCCAAGATGGCCACCAGGCTCCCAGTACAGAGGACGAGTTGGTTCTCTGCAAGGTTCCTCTAGTAGCAGAGGTAAGCAGGGATCATTTGATTGCTACTGGCAGCCTACAATCTGTGGGAGTGATGTGAGCAATCTGTGGGTCATTAATTAGTCATTAATTAGTAAACAAGGGCTATGGGTAACAGCATCAGAGATTGAAGAATTGTAGTAAAGAAGCAAGCTAGCTTGTCTGAGGGTCCTGTGTGCAGGAAAATTGCATGTGCAGCACTGGCTGGGGCTCCTTAAAAGTATATGTGAACCCTTATCTCGTAAAACAATTAATTCAGTTTAAATTAGAAATGCAAGGCAAAATGTGTAACTATAAAAAAAAATTATAAAATATTTATTTATTAATTTATTGTACAATTGATCCCATGACCTCTTTTCTCAATTTTATGAGGGGCCTAGAGAGCTGGGGGTGGGGATTGCTAGGGGTGTGTCAGCAGGAGGCAGAGAAACAGCAAGACACTGATCTTCCCAGTGAAGAGCTGTGCAAGTGGCATGTCAGTAGAAATCTGATCGTTGAAGACAGGAATGCAAAAGAAAACTGACTACACTGGGAAGGATGTGCTTCCATGTCCTGGCGTGGTCAGTTTGAAATAGGAAAGCAGAGGGACTGGCAGGAGCACCAGGCATTTTACACAAAGGAACCAATACAAAGAGAACAGGATTCTTTTTTTAAATAAATTACAACAGTTATATCAGGAATATGAAATGTTGGAGGACACTTTAATTCTTGCCAAGCAGCGTTGACATAATAGTCCACAGGGTGTTCTTTTTTTCTCTTTACCCTTCTTGAGTGGCAGCAGCAGAGGTAGAGGGGGAGAGACTGAAGAGAGACTGGAACTGTGTGTGAGAGGGTGGAATGGAGGGGAGCTCTAGGGAGACCTGGTGTGTGTGTGTGTGGTGTGCGATTTGCTCTGCGTGTGCGTGTGTGTGTCTAAGCTGCCGAATATACTGGGGAGACCCACATGGAAGAAAAATATATTTGAAATATATTTTAAAAATATTCTTCCCAAATATATTGCCATATATTTGAAATAGTACAATTTTGGTCATATTCAATATATTTAAAAATATATTTCAATAAATAAATAAATTATAAAAAAATATATATTGCCATATATTTGAAATACTACAATTTTGGTAATATTCAATATATCTCAAAATATATTTCAATAAAATAAATAAATAAAAAAATATATATTGCCATATATTTATATATATATATATATAATATTATATATTTATATATATTTATATAAATACTGTGTGAATATATATATATATATATATATATATATATATACTGCATGTTGAAATGTGTTTTTATTACAAACATATATGAAAAATATTTGTAAAAATACATTTCAAATATACTGTATGTCTTTAAAAGTATAAATCTGCATTTTTGGAATGCATTTACAAATATATGTAAAAAAATATACATTAAAATGACTTTTTTTATATGTAAAAAAAAATCTGAAGGATATATTTTAAAAATATATATATATTTTTAAAAATATATATTTTTTAAAATATATTCTTCAGCATGCTTTACTCCATATACAGACATATTTTACTGTTGTGGGTTTAGTAACCAGCTGAAGCTGATTGGCTACCATGTACAGCTGCACCACATTCTGAGTGCACCAGTTTTAGCATATCCCCCCATTTTGTTTATTCTTGTGTTTCTGTTTAAATAAATAAATAAACAATTTTTTTTCTTTTTTTTTTACAGGGCTTTTTCTTGTTGAATAAAGCCCTTTAAAATGTTCACAAGTGTGTTGTGATGCTACTCTGGTCCATGTAGATGTATGTCATCACAGAGCAAGAGCAGAGGGACTCAATAAAATCTATCAGCTACTTCAGGGGTGGTGCTACACATGAAAACACAGCCATGTTTGTGCTGGAGCCCACATTCCGATACCATCATCGTCTTATATGTAATTCATCACTTTTGTTCCTGTAGCATAGTCCTACTTCTCACTAGTGCAATCCAGAAAACCTATGGATGAACTCAGGAACTCAAATATTATATCACAGAAGTCTGGTGGAGTATGGGATTGATTTCAGTTAGCAGTTCACATTCTAGCATCTTCCTGATGTGAAGACTATGCAGAATAGGGTGCATGCACAATATCCAATGCTGGAGTCTAAAACTCATGAAAAGAGCGCTGCTCATACATTTTTTTCTTGACAAATATAATACGAGGTGTGACAATTTAATTCCAAGAATGTAATGTAAAAAAAAAAGTTTGCTTACCTATAAACTAGCAGCTGTCGTCTTCAAAGTAGTTCACCTTGTGAAACAATGCACTTTTTAAGATGACTGGGCCACTGCTGGAAACATTCCTGGAATTCGTTTTCTGGAATGCTGGGCAGTATTCAGCAGTTTCAGCGTGCTGGAGGTCCAGAATGTGTCCTGTGTCCTTTTAAGGCATTTTTTAATTTTGGAAATAGTCAGAATTCGCAGGGTGATAAGTCAGAAGAATAAGGTGGTTGGTCAAGTTTCAGAATGTGTTTCTGGGCCAGGAACTCGCGATCACTTAATGCATCATGTGCAGGAGCATTGTCGGGGTGGAGAATCTATCTGTTCCGGTCTTTTCCTCTGCACAGTTTCCTGTAACCTTTTCAGAGTTTCTAAGTAACAATGTTGATTGACAGTTGTACCATGTTCTATGAACTCGTAGTGAACTATCCCCTTATGATCAGAAAAACACACCAGCTTGGTTTTGAACTGAGAGAGACATGCACACATTCTGTGGACAAGGTGAATTATATTTGTTTTCTACTGCATGCTCTGGCGTTTTGTTTCCAGATCATACTGGAAACCACATGGGCTAGATTTACTGGTGCACTCAGAATCTAGCGCAGTTGTACATGGTAGCCAATCAGCTTCTAACATCAGCTTGTTCAATTAAGCTTTGACAATAAAACCTGGAAACTGGTTGGTTTCTATGCAGAGTTGCATCAGATTTTGCACTTTCAGTTTTAGTAAATAACCCCCCATCAAACACCTCTGCATTCTTCAAAAGAGCGGATTACATTTTAGGACGATCTTCTTTTAAGATTCGAGGTGCCATCTTTGTGGAAATCCTTCTCATTCCCAAGTCCTCAGTTACAATCTGCCACACTGTTTCCCTTTTCATGTTCAATTCTTCTGCCATCATTCGCACACTCAGTCTTTGATCTAAGCATATGAGGGTTAGCACTCTGTCTACCTTTGCATCTGTCCTTTGCATTTTTGGCTGCCCACTTGTGTCATTGTGGACATCTTCCCATTTCTCCTTAAACCGCCTAAGCCATTCAGAAACACTTATGGAATCTTCAACATAAGCCTGTTTTAAAAGAGCTAAAGTTTCACTCGCACTTTTGCCGATTTTTGGGCAAAATTTGATGTTAATCTACTACTCCAGACTCCTGTCACTCATTTTCCACCAATAGCACAATGCACGCATGTGTCATTTCTTCTACTCCTTCATGAAGACTGAGTCAACTGGTCTGCAACCCAGGTGAGTGCAAGTTAGAACATCTCAGAACACGCTCGAGTGCAAAGGTCTGTGGGCATTCCAAGAATTAAATTGTCACACCTCGTACAGTCAGTAGCTGCCTTTAAAGTGTAATGCATCTTTGGGGCTGTTACACCTAGGTTAAGTTTAGATGTGCAGAAGACCACCATGTTGCAACCATGCGCATTACATGCAGTTGCAGGGCAATTGTGTCGAAGGACCATTTACCTGAATGTGAATTAGCACTCATTCCTGTGATGATGGGGGAGCACTCAAAGACTTATCCATCTTAGCTTATATGCAGGAAGACGAGGCTAGCTCAGAAGGCTACTTTCTGGGCAGGCTTTGCAGAAACTGTACTTTACATACTGTGTATATAAATTCAAATTAAGCTCATCCTGTGATTTGCAAACTACTGTGGCCCCTTGACTGCACTGTTAATGTTATTAAAAGGTGAATAAATATTTGTACAGCAAGGGGAATTTTTAATGTGGACTTAAAAAGATGTACTGTGGTCATCAAGGCATTAACCTCCCTGGCGGTGTATTCCAGTACCAAAAGCGGTAACCCCCGAGCTACACTCAGGATTACACTGCAGCGTTGCTCTGGGATCCCTGTTTCACTTACCTTGTCCCGCGCTCCCGCAATGTCCCCCTGCAGCGTCCCTGATCATCTCCTCTGGCCGATGCCGGCATCTGTCTTCTGGGTTCCGTTCCCTGTGACGTCAGGGCATACGGGGATGGGATCGGCAGGAAATTTAAAAATGTTAAAAAGGACATTCACTAAATACACTAAAATCCCATAGTAAAACATTACTGTATCAAACCATTTCACATACATTTTGTCCCGAGTGCTTTGTCCTGTGGCCTGCCTGCATTTTTACTGTTCTTTCTGCCTGGAAACTGAGAAAAGTCCATGGTGTCCAAAAAGCGTCCCTATGGGGTTTATTTACTAAAGCTGGGGCCCCTGTCCAATAGGGGATCATGGGGCCCCTTGCTGCAAATAGAAACCAAAAGCTTCTAAAAAGGTAGCTTGTTCAATGAAGCTTTGAGCAATGAAACCTACGGGGAAGCTGCCCGAGTTTCTATGCAGAAGTGAATCATTTTGCACTCTCCAGCTTTAGTAAATAAACCCCTTTATGTCAGAAGTGGTTTTAGACCGGCTAGAGAACAGCGATAGTAAATCAGAACCACTTGCAGAATTGAGTGATAATGATTTGTGGGGAAATTCGTCATCAGACACTGAAATTGATTTTGCGGACTAAGCTCAGTGATGTGCGAACTTGGTGCTCTATTTCAAAATTCAGTGTTTTTGGTTTGATTATATTATTGAATTAAATTTATTAGTGCTATATTATTATTTTTTTATGATTTTTTATATATAGTAGAATTTATGATTTCGTGTTTTAATTTTTATCATACCCGGGATGTTTACTAGACTCTTGTTCGGACAGATTTCAGTGAGTTATTCCTAAAAATTACAGGCCTACAATAAAAAAACAACATATTTCCATGCAAAAAATGTACCGCTTTGAGCACAGAAATATTGACATAATCATACCGCTAGGAAGGTTAATGTCAGATCTAAAGGTTTAAAGAATATAGCATTGGAGGTTAATGTCATATCAATACCCAGGTAGGAGTATCATAGCATAAGACTAGAATTTTCATTTTAATTTTATCATTTTAGAATTTTCATTTATCAAAGTATCACTAGTAAGACATTTCTTTTTATCCCCCTTACCAATAACATCACCACCTGTCACTTTCTTGTGTGGTTTTGAGTCTGATTTGTTTTTGTAAAACAGCACAGACAGAACTTTTAACTGGTAAATGAGATCCAAAGTAATTAAGCACAGTGGAAAGTGTGGGTGGAGGACTATGGAAAGTAAGATTAAAAAATGGAGTTTTCCTTTAACAGGTAATGCAGAGCAACTGACCCCAGCCTGGTACAGGCTTTGCACATGGTCTATGTCTTACAGCAGCCGTACTTATTCATCCCTGGCAGCTTTGAACTCAGTTCCTGTTGGCTGGGGAGACCTGACTAATGCAGAGTTTATGCAGTACAGAAGCTGTGGTTATTCCTTGTACCGCTCACCACAGGTGTCCTGGAAGCCGTGGTTATTTGATGTATCAGGGGAAATTCTGCTGTCCTGATTTCATTTTTCCGAAGCCTTCACAGGCCTGTTGACATCTTACTGACTAATGTTCAATATTATTGTTATTCCTTTTAATCATTGCTTTCTTATGGTCGATGGAAAGAAAAAACAGATGCCACTTATTGCTTAATGCTGTAAAAATATATAGGTACTGTACTGCATTTATGAACTTAATGCGGGGTAATGACTGCATCCCTATATAGTGAAAACTCCAGAATTCAACAAAAGTGTTAACATTAACGGGAACCTGAACTCTATTTTATAGTTTTGCCTTTGCTGGACAAAAATTCCATATACTGAAGCTTTCCAGTCCTTTGATGTCGTGGCTGCATTAGTTTGCTTTATTTCAGGCTGTTTTTTCCTTTATGTTCACCAGCAACATACTTTCCATGCTAGGGTGACAATACTCGTTCACCATACTGTATTTATGGAGATGCAACATTGTCACCCAAGGTGAAGAAGTGTTTTAGGACTGTCGAACTTCCCCTTCTTCCCCATAACATAGATGAGAGGTGTTCTGCAGTTACAGAAAAAGCGAGGAACAATACTAACCAGTACTTGTCTGCAGAGGCGGGATCAAGAGAAGTCTTTTTTTAAACTTTACATCAACTTTAAGAAACAATAAAAAGGTGAACTAACACCCTACACCTTTCATCTCCCCCCCCCCCCCCCTTCTCGGGTTCACTTACTTCCATGGGTGATAGAGTTTCACCGTCCATGCAGCTCGATGCAATGGGCCCAGGGTTTTGTAAACTGCACTGTTCTTCCTCTTCTTTCCCCAGGGATGCCATGGCAGATCAAACTGGTTCTGATTGGTCAGTGCAGTCAAGTGCTGGCGTTAAACAATAAGAACTGCTCAGGTCCATCCTGGCATTCCTGAGGAAAGAAGAAGAACCATACATTTTCAAACTCAAGGACCATTGCATCAGGCTGTGTGGACAGTGAAACTATATAACCCATGGTGGTAAGTGCAGTGGGAACTAAGGGCTTGAGGAGCGTGTAGGGTGTTCACCTTTTCCTTTTTTCTGAAATGGGGAACTAACCATTTAAACTAAGTTATGTGTGTATTGTTAAAAGAAAAGTATGGCCAAAACTCTTTTGGCCATTTTTCTCTTGTAGGTCACAGGAATGCACTTACTTTTGCTCTCCTGTGACCCAGAAACAGCTGCTAATGTCACAGAACCTCTCCAGACTGGAGGGTTTCTGACAATAATACCGGGATCCACCTAAATGCCCTATAGGCAACTGGCTCAGCCTCTCAGCGCACCATTAAGAGCCTGAGCCAGCTACTTCAACCCCCTCTCCTGCCTAGCACTCTAATGAGCACTGGAGGGACAGAGCATAGAGCAGTGCCTAACAGTCACCACTCTCTGCTCAGAGTTGACCAGAGAACTGAGTGATCAGTGGTCATGTGAATGCCCAGTTCTTGTGCTTGGAGCTGGTGGGGGACAGCTTGCCGCATCGAACTGATGTTGCAGCAGATGAGAGTATGTATGTTTGTTTTTTTTATGTTCCCACACTTCTCCCTTAATGACATAGTCTGCCTATGGCAAAAATGTAATAAATGTACCCATGTTAATATAATAAAAAGTGTAAATGTTTTAAATGTTTGCATTGAAGGCTTTTGCATTGTTTAGCCAAGCCCCCAATCCGAACGGATGTACAAACCTTCTATTATGAGGCTGGAAGAAGTAAACAATAAACTACAAGTGATGTCACTGCACTTGTGCCGCAACAATCTGTGAGTGCGCCTGCTGTGGTGGCTGATGGAACTTAGTCTTCTCATTCACAGATCCTTGTGAAGGGATGAGGCTTGGAGGGAGCAGCACCCCACAAAGCAGAAAAGTGTGAGGGGTCAGGGATTGAGGAATGCAACCATGTTTTATGTTACACCCTAAATATGGGTACAGCATGAAACGTGCTCCTAAAGGTGAACTATGCCTGTAGTTTAAAAAACAATTAGGCTGCCTGAAAAGAGGCTGTAGCTAAAGACCTTGTCTATCTATGTAGGAGCAGAGTTTCTGTACAGTATTCTGATATGACCCCTGCCTTGTCACTTTGTGGCAGCGCTGCAATTAGCATAGAATGTAAGCTTTGCATTGTAGTGAGGACAATGCAGGAGGTGTATCAGGTAACTGTTCAAAATGGGCTTGGGAGTGTTTTCCTGGGGTCATGACAGCTTTGAAATAATTGTATGGTTAGGCAATCCCCGGGAAAGAATGTAATATGGTGCAGATGTGCACCACATTACATTCAGTGGAGCAGAGGAGAGACATGCAGGGTCTTTTAGACCTTGGATGTCTAAAAGAGAACCTGTCACCAAAAAATCATCACATAGGGGATTTTGTCCCCTATGTGATGAAAAAAAAAAAAAAAAAAAAAGTGAAAAAAAATTTTTTTTTTCTAATTGTAAAAAATGAAAGTTACACCCAAGCACATACCATCACCCCCCAAAAAATATTGAGGCCCCCCCACATATACGCACATACAAACGAAAAGCACATGCTGGGGCACCTACGCATGAAACCGTCGATTGCAATACTCATGTCACATATCGCCACTCACGCCAGGATGA